TATATCCCCAGACCCGAGCATTGGTGTGTAACGCACCAAACTTGGTGAATTCTGACTTCACTAAAGGATCAGACGGTCAAAAACTGGTCATAATATTTTAAATTGTTCGGGGTCAGAAATCCCGATTAGCTCAGTTGGTAGAGCGCAGGACTTTTAATCCTGTGGTCGCGGGTTCGAGCCCCGCATTGGGAGAGCGTATAATTTTTGCGCACTGCAATGACGTGATTCACGACTGGCTGTCAATAGAGAAAACAACGCTTTTATATTGAGGAGGGTGTTGCCGTGGAAGAATCTTGTGTCATCGAGAGAGCTCGTTGGCGCAATTTTTTTCAACCCTTGCCGGCGCCCCTCAATGGGTGCTTTCGGCGTCTCGCAGAAGGCACTCGCTGCTCCATACATAGTCGGTCCGGGTGTTCCTTGGTATCTTTTGTGTCTTGGCAACGTGGGGTACTGTAATGCGGGGTGTCATGGATCGTAAAGCAAGGTGGCGAGTTTTTGTCGCATCAACAGCAGTCGAACGAGGCTGCACCGCCCAGAGCACCACCCGTAGCTACCACCCGTATCACATTTCTTTTCGATTGGCATCGTTGAAAGGCGGACACACGGGTGGGATTTTGATCTGGAGGGTTTGCGAAACGTTGCGTCCAGCCTGAGGTGCAACTTCAATTTGCGACCTACAACGGCTCGTTCGTCTGATCCAAAAGCATCAAACGATCTTTCGACGACATGCCTTGCCTCCTCGTCTTCGCCAAAGTCATCCGCGTTGACAGACGACTTTGATCGTCTGGAGCTTGCAAAATACAGATATAGATTTCCAGCTCGATGTACGGACAAGGCTTTGCAGAGCACGCCGCTGATGTGCATTATACATTTTTAGTGCATCGGCTCCGTACTGGCTCCGCATCTCAAAAGATCGTGCAGAGTTTCATTTCTTAGTCGTTGGGGTCGCGTTGTTTACAATACCGTGACTTCCAGTTCTCAGAACGAACTGGGGTCCCCTATGAGCACCTCACCGCATCCCGTGGTCATCGCTCCGCACCTCGTGCTGGCATTTCGTGCCATACCTTGCACCGGTACTGCAGTCGCTTGCTCGGATATTGCTGCCGCGTGTTTGGGCATCAAACCACGCGATGCTACTGTGCCGTCGCCATCGACGTGCTTCATAAAGATATGCGTCCAGGCTGGGTGCCAATGAATTCTGCATAAACGATCAATCATTCAAACCGGTCGCGTGAGGACGGCGCGTCGATTCCCCAACTTGGTGGACGCCAGACAGGCGAACGGTGCTAATCCCACAGCATTATCGTGTCAACACTGACGTGAGATGGTCGTGATTGCGGTATGTGTGTCAATCGATGTAGAGAAAATGGTCGCGGGTACTCGAGGGCATGCTCATCAGCCTGGAATGGATGGGTCGAAGCCCATGTTCCGAGCATACATCAAGCTGCTGATATATTCGACGTGTTCAAACGATGCAAGATTGCCGAGCCCAGGCATTAGCACCAACGGAAACGCTCAGTCCTCTCGCACACAATACAAAACGCAGCTTTAAAGGCGCACCCGCTTTTCTACATGATATGGCAAAGCAGCGTGCCCGCGCTATGTTACCCACCCAGTCCATTCGGAGCCATGGTCACGCCATGGAGCGCTCAACCGTATTGGAAACGCCCATGCCGCAAAAAAGCCCGCAAGACGCGATCCCACGAGTATCCACCAGAGGTGCACCGGGCGTCCACGGTCACAGTAGTAACGTGCAGCTGCAGCAGTGTACAGAACGGATCAGGTCCGCGGCGGTATCTTTTCCCCACCTTTGAACCAAGGAACGGATCAGCGTACAGAGCAGTCGCTGCTGTGGTGGGAACGTGCACGCCATATCGGTTGCCCTGTGCTAGCCTGGAAGAACGAGGCCAAAGAGCTCGGGATTGGTGCTATGACTTTCCGGGTACCGTGGCCCTGTCCGTTGACTCATCGTGGATAGAGTGGTACGCTCGGGCTCTGGTTCCCTCAACGCGTGCAAGTTGGTCATCGACGTGGCGTGGTCACGGCGGGGGGCAGAATGCGATGTGCAACTCGTGCAGCAGTAATGGCGTCCGGTGGCATCCCTCGAACGCGACCTCGTTTTCTTCATTCTTCATCTTGCCACGCACTCGATATAACCACGATGACCACGTGCTATTTCAATGACTGCAGCAACGCGGCGCTCAGCGACAGCTCCAAGTGCGAGTTCCACAAGCACCGCCTCAAGTGCCTCATCGACGACTGCCACAACCAAGTGTACGCGCGCCGCCTCTGCGTCCGCCACGGCGGCAAGAAGCTCTGCGCCTTCCCCGACTGCAACCGCAACGCGCGCCTCGGCAAATTCTGCTCTCTCCACGGTGTCGTAACGCACAAGCGCCACTGCAACGAAGACGGCTGCCTCAAGATGGCCCACGCCCGGGGAAAGTGTGTGCGCCATGGCGGTGGCCGACGCTGCGCACACCCCGAGTGTCCCTCGCACGCGCGCCACAAGGGCTATTGCAGCCGCCACGCGATCCTCATGATGCCCTTGACGCCGCCGCACCAGCTCGACGCCAAGATGGACATGACCATCTCGCCGGCCGCGCGCTGGCCCAGCGCGAATGGCTTCGCCGCGTTCCGGTTCGGGAGTACAAAGAAGCAGTGCACGTTCCCCGACTGCACACGCCGCGCACATGCTCGTCGCATGTGTGTGCGCCACGGAGGCGGCCGCAAATGCTCCGTCGAGGAGTGTACTAGTCACGCACGGTCGGGCGGCCTTTGCTGCCGCCACGGACGCGGCCGACTCTCGCCACCCACCAAGTGCAATATGGCATGGGGTACTAGTACCCCCGAGGTTGGGACATTTGAGGTTGCGATGACGGAGCTCGACACTGCTATCCTCAACAGCCTCGTGCAGGACGACGATACAGACGACGAGCTTTCGTTCCTTGACCCGACATGGCTCTTTACAGAGACGGTCGATATGGAGC